GACACTCGGCAGCCTCGAAATGCGCTCTCCCTTCTGTTTTTTTTCCTCAGGAATAGCCTCTCTTCTGTGCTGCTGTGGCTTCTTGTGTGGCGGTTTGCAGAGCGCTGTCCTGCTCCGCACCAGCAAGTGGAGGGCCAAGCGCTGGGTGTCTTCCCACCACCCCCCCCACCCCCAGAGGAGATTTATGAACGGGGGTTTTGTTTGTGTGTAGCGCAGAGGGTCAAATTCCAAGTGTCTCGCAACGTCTGGGGTCAAAGTTGCAAGCGCTTGAAGAACTGGGTCCCTCAGCCCAGGTTCCCAGAGATTTTAGGTCTTTAATTCCCATCTTCATTAGCGTGAACACCTAAACAGCAGAGTACTTGAGGCTTATTTAGACACAGAGCTCAGATAAAGGAATTTCTGAATGTAGGATTTTGCTCCCGGTTAGCGTATGGTTGTAATTTATAGCCCGGCTTACCATGCTAAGACCTTGCAGACAGCACTCTCTTGAATGTTGGAGCAGTTGTGAACTACAGCCTCGGCTTCTGGAGATGAAATACTGCGTGTTTAAGTTTATAGTTATTTTATTTAGGTCTTAATGGGTTTGCATACAATAACCTTTGCAGAATGCCTGCAGTAGTACCATAAAAAGAGAGCTGAGCGGGGCAGCAACGTTTAAATTCACCCTAATACGGAAATGGTGACACAATTATAAAAGTAGCAGAATTGACTTGTGAGGCATATGGTTTCTGTCTGAATCGCAATCTTTCCATGCCACCAGCCCCTTCAGAGACATCACTGTCCTTCTCTGGCCCTTGTTGGTACTTTGCGTGCCCCTCGTATGCAGTGGTCCCTTTTCACTGGTAAATGGTGGTGGAAGGCCTGAGAGTGCCAACCCCTTTGACGTGGTATTGCTTTGTCACAGTCATATGCAACGCTGCAGTTTTTTAGCTAGGTATGGGCACGGCGAGGTGCCTGACACCGGTGGTATCCCTCTGAGGCTGGGGGTCCCAGCTGGTGGGCAGAGGTGGTTAGAGTAGCCAGCCATTATATTTGGCGTACGTATCTTTGTGGTGCCAGCTGGTTACTTGCTGAGTATGAAAGTGGCAGATTTCAGAAGATGTCAAGTTGGCCTCTTGAGGTGTTCATCACAGGTCACGTTACGCAGAAGGGGGTAGCTAAGAAGTTGAGAAGTAATGTACAGGCTGTTAGGAAGGGGGGTTAGACACCCCAGTCTCTGTTGCATGGAGGTCTTTACTCTGATATGTGGGTCCAGGTGGAATTAGAGAGAGGCAGAGTCTTAATGAACAGTTGAGAAAATGATGCAGAAGAAAGGAGCTAAGGTTCAAGAGGAACTGGGAATGCTTTTGGAATAGAAAGGGTCTGCATTAGTGACTTTATCTAACTAGTTGGCAGCCGGGCTATGTATGCCTTAAATTAAAACATGTATTTATTTAGATATGTAATTGCTATATCAAATTTTAAGTTTTTAAAACAAAACAGTGGGAAAAAGCTGACAGGTGAAAAAGAACGTAGTTTGCTATGACACATACTCCCTGGAAGAGGATCGTCATCCCCATGGTATTAAACCATCTCCATGATATAATACTTGGAGTATCAGAAACTTTGTGGAAGCTCAGGTAGTGTAGTGACAGACAACAGATGGCATAGAGAGAAGAGAGTAGCTTGCCACGTGTATGAAGTGGGATACTTTTTGGTAAAAAGCAAATAACTGTTCTGGGAAGTAACACGGGATCTCATGAATTGATATTCCAGGCCTAAATAGGAAGAGTAGAGATCAGGGCTCTATGACTGTCTGCCGAACCAAGATGTTGACAACGACTGTCATCTACCGAGGGGGGGTAGAGAAGCTACTGAAGTAGGAAATACAATGGCAATGGGAGGCTTCAGTTGCCCCCACTTAGATTATGTCATGCTCTAACATTAAATTTGCCCGTGTACTAACTTTTTAGATGCCAAAAAAACCTGCTTTGTAGGTGTAGCTTGTAAGGGTGCTCTGTGGGTGGCAACTCGGGACAAGGTCCTGGCCAGCAAGAATTAAGTTCAGAATTTTACATTAAAAATGCCAGCCAGCTGTGACGTGACAGTGATCACAATGTACTTGGACTCAGTGTTGCTTCAGGAGCACTAAAGCCAAGGGCTGTTGTGGCAGTGTTTAATTTTCCAAATTAAATCTTCATAAAACAAGGAAAACAATGAATGAAATGGTGAGAGGCAGCCAAAAGTGAAAAATATTTGCAGGTGGCATGTAATTCTTCAAAGACACTGAAGTAAACACTCAGAGCAATTACATGGCATCTGCCGGAAATACCAAAAAAGTTGAGCAGGCTGACAAGCAAAGTGAAGGAGCTCAGTAGAAGTAAACTCAACATCTTTCAAAAAGTTAAAGCGGAAAAGAACGTTAAATCTGTGTTAAACACAATAAGGTAGGCCAAAAAGAGTCATGGAATAAGTTGCTAAAGGCATGAAAACAATTAGTAAATCCTCTTTGAAATGCATCAAAAGCAGGAAGCCTGCTGATAAGTGATCCATGTGTAGAAGGAGTGTCCAAGGAAGATAAAGTCATAGCAGGAGAGTGAAACACATTCTTTGAGCCTGGCTTCACTGAAGAAGAGTTTAAGGAGATTCCCTTGCTAGAGGCTTTTTCTTTTTTTTAAGGCGTGAGCATGTTGGAGGGTTTCTCCCAAATTGTAGTGTCTGTAAGAGAGGGCACCAGTTCGAAGCATTGAGGAGAAGGATGAAGTAGAGGGCAGGAGGTGGTATTTGTTCATGAGTTTTGAAGGAACTTAAAATATGAAATTGCCGATAGATTGGCTGTTGTGTTCAACTTGTTGCGTAGGCCTGCCTTGGTGCTCCAGGAATAGAAGGTGACAAATGAGCTGTCAGTTTTTCAATGTTTCTGGGGAGACTGAGAACTCCGGGCAGTCATTTTTGTTTGCTTGTTTGCCAGGGATTAGTGAATGGGATTAGCGAACACTCGTATGAATGTGATACATTGACAAATAATAGGCCTGACTCCTGTTGAGGAGGAGTTGTACGTCACGAGTCTTCTGGAGTTCTCTAAAGGCATTGCTGAGCTGTTGTTGAGGTCTGGTTGATACAGGCCTTCTTAAAGCAGGGCCAGTTTCAAAGTGGGATCATTGATTGCTCTGGGTCGTGCGGTCATGGTCAGTTTGCTCAATGAAAGGAGGTTGCCAGTTGTGTGTGTCATCGTCCCCCCGGCCCGAGTCTGCCCAGGGTCTATGCCGTTCAACGGATGGAGGAAGGGATAGGTGGTGATGTGACAAGTTTACTGGTTGTATTAATCCATTCAGAGCAGTAAAATCTTGAAGACTGAACCACAAAGACTGTAGAGGGATCTCATATTGAAAGTCCAGATGTAAGTTTGCAAATGAAATTCGGTACAGACCGATGCAAGTGTAATGCACATGTAAGGGAATGCAATCTTAACTCTACACAAGGATGAAGTCTGAATTGGCTTTTTACTCAGGAAAAGATCATACAACACAGATAATCCTATGAAAAAATAAGCTCTGTGCCCAGAAGTGCCTAAGAAGGGAGAGGGCAGGTTAGGAATTATTAGGAAGCAGTAAAAAATGAAATAGAAAACACTGTCATGCTACTATAAATCCATATTGCTGCCCTATCCTGAATAGCATTAAAAATTTTTGTTCCCCCATCTTAAAAAGAATGTGGTGGAAGATAATGAGCTACAGAGAAAGGCATAAAAGACAATCAAGGGTATGAAACAGCTTTTGTGAAAGAGTAAGTAGCTTCAAAAATAAGTGACTGAAGAGGATGTGGGGCTGTGCTTTAAAATCATTAGTGTCATGAAGAAAGTGAATAGGTAACAGTACAGATAAATGTGACCCAAATAAAACAATTGGGAGGCAGCTTCAAAACAACAGGAGGTGTTTGTCCTGCAGTACATAAATTGCGGTGCTCGTGGCCACTGCGTGTGTGTCAGGGGTGTATGTGGGTTCACAAGTGATTAGGCAGTCTGTGGGAGAGAAACTTGCTGTGCAACTTAGCAGACAGAAAAGTTCAATATCAATTTCTGGGCACTGACTGCCCATGAAGAATTACTGAGATGCTGATCAAGAATTATTTCTGAAAACTGCAAATAGAAACCTTCTCCATTGAGAAGAATAAGCTAAGTTCCCTTTGCAGGTAACATAGAGAAGCAAGACCATGTCTTGCCCTTTGTTAGTGACTCTTGTGGCATAAGATCTTACAAAACTTCCAGCAAAAAAATGTTTCTATGATGATCCTCTTTAATCTGTGCTTGTTACCCCTGGACTTGTTAACCTGACACGAGTCACAGTCAAGTTAAGTGCATCCTGTATGCATTTAACATGGCATAGGAGTGGTACCCCAGCAAAATTCCTCTGGTGTTTGCAGGATTAGAACCTCAACTTCTATTTTGTGGATCTTATATTGAAAGCCGCGGTCCATTTGTAGGTAAAGAAGTAAAACTAATCACGTGTTGCTCTCACTTATCTCTGTGACTCGTTTGTAAAGACCGCCCTTTCGAAACTCGATTCTTCAAAGGCCTACCATGATTGTGATATTGAGGGCATAAACCATAAGGTAGTGTTTACAGACATTTTATTATAGCGTATGGTGTTATAAACTGTGATTAGTGTAAAACATTTGCTGGTTTGTCCTTCTAGATCACAAGTGCAAAAGCAAAACAAAGAATAAGCAAGCCGAAAAAATTCTGGGTACAGTGAATGAGAGGAACAGATTTATTAAGTTGCGTATTCCTCATATACGAGTAACATTATGGAAAAAAATCGTTCAGTGTAATTAAATAATTTTGCCTTCTTTTTTTCCAGAAGTTGTGTTTGAACTATATGAAGGTTCTTCCTTGTATTGGCTGTGTGTGAACTCTTAAGAGTATTATAGATCAAAATAGCCAGTAAGAAAAACTGGAATCGGTAATTAACTGCTACTAACAGTTAGTGGAGGGGAATGCATGTTAACAGTTAAGAGTTTAATATCTACACATATATATATGTGCACTCACACATATCTAATATATATATAAAAATATAAAATTAGATGTTTTGTATATAGTATAATTAATACATTGTATAGCACGCATTTCTTACTGATAGACTGCAAAACAGTTTTAAAACTTGCAACTTCTAGCTAGTGCCAGATATATTTTCCATTTCTTGGAAGTTGATGAAAAATTACTGGGTTTTTTGAATGAGCTAGGGAGAAAAGAAAGAAGTAGTAAGCAGTAAAGTAATGTAATGTTTCGTTTCTTAATGTGTAATATACTGCAAGCCTGGCTTTGTGTATATTGGAAATCTTCTGACCCCTTTGTTTGCTTGGGGCAGATTGCACCAAATGTACAGCAGTTTTTAGTACAAGGCAAATGTTTTATCTTCTTGCAGCTTGGACACAGGCATCCAGGAGCAAATGCGCCTGCATGTGGCATGTTGTTTCACCCAAGGTACAGAACTAAATTCTAACTTTAAATTATTTTAACATTCTGTTGTTGCTATATAGGTTGCTAGCTTTCAAGGTGAGCTTGGATGTAATAATTTCCATGTTCTTGCCCCTTACAGAGCAGAGCGGGTTACGGTTTGATAGTTTTTCAGCTAGCCTTTGCGGGTTTGGTTTGTACCTCCCAGCATATCTGGTGTTAGGTATGGAGTTAAGCTGCAGCAAAAGCAAAAGTATTAACATTAGTTCTTTAGTTTGAACTTCATGTGACAGTGGATGTTGTCTAACCATTTCCCTTTTGCTGTAAAATTATTTTAAGTACTTTTTAATTTAAAGACTTACATGCTTAACATTGATATAGCACAAAAGAAGGAAGTATTGCTTATGGTTTGTTTTAAGAAACTCTGAAAGTGTGGTTAAGTTCTGCTTGTTGTGTACGGAGGGATATATGTGACTTGAGGGGCGTGATGAGTGCACAGAAGACAAAGTCTGTACTGTAATACTTCTGTTGGTATTGCACATTGCTTAACAGCACTACAAGCAAACCTTTTACAGCTTTATCTAAGGAAGATAATGCCTTAATTCTTTAATAAATTCAAGTAAGAGTAAGTTTAGGCCTTTATGTGCATTTCATGCATATATATAACATGCATTTGGTGCGTGATGTGGACTTTTGTGTGTTTAGTGCTCTTTTAAGGTGTTTTGTTGAATCATGTAAATGTGCTACATATGCAACTGAGAGATGAATCTGGTGGAAAATGCTAAACTGCTGAATTTAATTGGATGTGGCGTATAAATTTGTAAAATCAAAATCAAACAATCCCACCACCAAAAGCACTTGAAAATTGTGATAGCATCTCACAGAGTTTATCTAAATAAAAATAACTCCACAGTAAGAAAAAAGGTGGGATAGGAGACAAATATTTTAAAATTACTGAAAGCTTTCCTGTAGGATCTCAAATCCCAACAGTGTTACATGAAAAAGTTGAAAGCAAAACCTGAGGATAAAATTGAAACCAAATATAAACAAAAGTGAAACTGACTCCATTGGTTTTCATTTCCCAGATGGCAAAAATGAAAGAATAAACACAGAGCAAAGAAGCATGAGTGCTGAACTTGAAAAATTATTTCAGTTTTATTATTTATTTAATCTGCTGGTAAACTTGACTTCTGCACGACAGCACTCCTTTAGCAGGCTACACAGTAGGGAGTAGGGGTTGCTGTCCCCGATTTATCCGTGTACCACTTTTCCCACCCAGTGGTCTGGGTGATGGCCCCGCAGTACAGGAAGTGGCGTCTTCTTCTGTCATGGACGTAAGATTTTGAAATGTTGAGGCAAATGCGTACAGAAAGTACAGTGGAGGTGATGTCATCCAGTATGATGAAAGCAAGTAATTTAGCTGGTAAGTGTGCTTGAAATTTATTCATGTTGAGATGTGAATTGCTAATAGGGTCAGGTATAAAATACACGGTGGGGTTTTTTTTTGCCCCCCACCTTGGGATCGTCCACTTAGATCTGGGTCAGATCAACAGTAACCAACAGATGGTATCTGATACCAGCTTTGCTGATGACATGAAATGACTGTGAATGGTTTCACTCTGTTTCCACAGATCAGTCAGCAGCTAGAAGGTCCTTTTTGACCTTGAGAACTAGCTGGTGAATTAGCCAAAAGACGTCCAAACACTGGGTGGCTGTGGAAGCTTGAATGAGTATCCTCACCTGTAGAGACACATACTCCTGGGCTATATTGACAAAAAAGTGGTGTGTTGAGGAGAAGCTTGGACAATCGCTGCTCTGCTGAAGCTTTACTAGGGTCAAATGAAAGACTTTAATTCTAGAGGTCTAATTCTCACCCATTTGCAAACATTGCATTTGAACATATCAAACCTAAATTCTTTGGATGCCTAAACTGTTCTGGAGATTTGAGATTGATGAGGGAAGCTGATGAAGACTGGCTTTGTTTAGTTTAATAATATTTATCCGGCTTAGATGAGAAATGAAGATGAGTTCAGTGGTCTCACTCTAGCTCAGTAGTATTTTAGGAAGCTTCCAAGATAGAAATAGCCACTGCAGCTCAGAAATTGAGGCTGTCTCATTGCTGTTGGTCTGTGGTTAACACAAAAACTTTAAATTAAGAGCACATTTTGTAACCGATCCTATTAACTATTCATACCTCAACATGAAAATGAGTTAAGTTCCTGTATGTCCTGTGGCAGTGGAAAGAGTAGCATTTTTATAAAAAGGAGGATTACATCATACCATTTCAACAAGCATCAGTATTAAGTGTTTAATAATTAGCACTCTTTAAATGCAAGTATTTGAAGTGTATGTAAAAAAGAAAGATGTTGCTCTCTTAAATTCTCCAGTGTCAAGCAATATCTCTGTAATAACTAATTCAATTTATTTTTTGTGCTCAACACATCTGCTTCTTTCATGGTGCTATTTTTGTAACTGTAAATAAGTGCATGTGACAGACATGTTTCCAGCTCGCAATGTGGATGATTCAGAGGATCCCAGCCCCCAAGTCTGTGCCTGCTGTGGTCTGTCTGTAAAGCAAGCATCTAAGTAAACGAGAGAGTGTTTTTTACAAATCTGAAACAGCATATACTTTTCTTTAATACCTTCTCTTGGAAGTAAAGGAGAAACTCCTTTCTTGAAAGGGCTAGTTTTGGCGCTCGCTGTGAGGTTAAGCAGATGTAGTTTATGTCTTTTGCTCTCATTTCTGGGTGCTGTGCTAGCGATTAGAAGTTCGGGTGGCAAAAGTGTAGGTGTGGGTTAGCTATTAACTCCAGTGCTAGAAACTGCCCTTGCCCAGACAATAAAATGAAAGCTTTAAGCAAATATTAAATCGCACTTTAGTGTAGTGTGCAAATAGTTTTTGCCATGTGTTGCAGAACAGTATGTTATACAAACAAAGGTAGCTGTGAGAAACAAGCCCAGTCTGAGCAAGGTGGATTACATCAGGTGCAGGTCATGGCCGGTGAATGTGAAAACTCTTCCTTGAACACATTTCTCAGTGTTAGCTATCTGGAATAATTTTTCTGCCTCTGTGAATTCCTCTAAAATGTCACTGTCTTCTCTGCAGTCCTGCCCGAGCCTCACAAGCCACCAGTGTGGGAACATTGAGATGAAGGACTTTTGTTTTACAATGGCTGCTTTTCTTATATATAGCACCCTATAAAGTGCTGACCCTGTACTTAGGCCAAAGAATGCTAGACAGGATACAGAGATTAAGTCTGCCCAGGCTTTAAAAAATATTTTTACAATTTAAGATCCTGATCTTGCAGATGCTCGCATGTGTGATTATCCATTGCTTTCAGAGGGACACATGTAGGAAACATGTTGTCCTTGTTAAAAGTTTTAGGGATGTCTCCTGTCAGCCTAGTCACAGAGCATGTAAGAGTGTGTTGGTCTAACAGAGCCATGGAGAGACTTAAAAAAATGCTGTTGAGTTGCATCAGTATGATAAAAGAAGTGATTCTTGATAATTGCTTGAGCCTTAATAGCCTTCTAGTTTTCACTAGGCTGGAAAATTCTGTATGAATCAGGTGTCAAATGCTGTTTTCCTGACAACTTTCAAGAACGCACCGGGTTTGGCTTCCATGGACACAGCTATGCAGCAGCAGCTATTAACATGTGGGTATTTGGGAGTGGATTTGTGCGTGAGCACTTAATTCCAGAATAAAATTGATTTATTGGGGGATAACTGCTCCCCAATGCAAGGAATTAATTATTCCCTGACAACCGTGCCAGCAATTTTCTTGTTGTAAACAAGCCCTTCCCAAACTTGCCTGAGTGAAGTACAGCTCTCCTACAGAAAAGTCACCACCTCTCTCCTAGGCAGCTTTTGGGGGAAAGGTACTTAAACATACCGGACACTGGAGACAAATCTTGATCAATTATCAGGCGTGACACAAAGCTTAAGAAGGAAATAAATCAGGTAAAAGTTATGGCTGCTTTTGAGACTGCTGGAGGA